ATAGTAAAAACCACTCCCCATTTAACTTCACTGTATCTTTAGTGTTTTCTGTGGCTTGTCTGCAGTTCATGTACACAATGTAAGACCTACAGCCTTGCTGGTTTGTGGATTAGCAACACCAGCAGCATCTGGGAGCTTGTTGGAAATACGAACTATAAAGGTCCAACAGAGACATACAAAGTCAAAATCGGCATTTTACATGCATGTTAAAATCTGCTAAAACCTCATCTACAGGATTCAACACCATTCAAAGACAGGAAAAAACAATTCCTCTTTGAAGAACTGCCACTCTTTAATCTTGGAAAAGGTCAGAGCCAAAATGTGACCTTCCTCCTCTATGAGACAAAGACCAGGAAATGGTCCCCCCTACTCTAAAATCCTGTTAGTCCATAAGATGACTAGAAGAATATTTTAATTTTTAATCAGTTTATCAGCTGCCATAAGATTTTTATAAGGAGAGGAGCCAAATATTGCACACTTATTGTAGAACACTTCCAAGTTTAAACCCATTAAAAAAGTGTTTGCCCTGGCCAGTGTGGCTCAGTTGGTTGTAGCGTCGTCCTGTGAACTGAGAAGGGTCGTAGGTTTGATTCCCCATCACGGCACATACCTAGGTTGGAGGTTTGCCCCAGGCTGGGACATACACAAGAGGCAACTGATGGCAGTGATGTGTTTCCCACATGGATGTTTCCCTCCCTTCCTTTCTCTCTAAAGTCAATAAGCATGCCCTCCTGTGAGGACTGAAAAAAAAGTTTTCTAGCACCAACAATTGCATAATATAATACCCAAGCAAAAAAAAAATCAAATTATATTTATTCCTAAAACTACATATATACTTGTGTGTTTTAGGGAAAAATACATTTCCAAGTGAACATTAATTTTTCCCTATTAAATGACCAAAAGAGTCCACAAACACTTAAATGGTTTGGTCAAAATTGCTATTTGGCCAATGACTATTTAAAACTAATTAGACCTGAATAATCCTACAGAATTATAAAAACAACATACAGTAGTCCTTGAGAGTAAAAACTCAACCTTTACAAAGTTATCTTTGCATCAACTGCTGAGAGTGAAGTCATCAAATTGAGTATCACCCTGGGGCTTCCATTCAAGTTTAGTAGGAACTTACCTCCTTTGGTGTTGGAATATTTAAGTTTTATAGAATACTCAAAGGGAAAAACCACCTACATGTGCATCCTAGCTTTGCAACTACAATAGTTAAAAAATATAAAAATGATAGAAGCTAGAAGTTTTCTTGCACAAAACAAATTACATCTTACTTCCCCCAGCTAACAGAGATGAGTTCTAAAGTAGAGTTTCTAATGTGCAGATGAATTACCTGGGGATCTTGTTAAAATGCAGACTATGATTGAGAAGATCTCATTAGGGGTCTGAGAGTATGCATTTCTAGCAAGCTCCGGGTTGATGCCCAATTCATACATAGAGCACACTTAAGTAGCAAGCTTCCAAAACACAAAACATACTTGACAATACTAAGATGGCCACGTTTGCAAAGCACTGCTCTTGATGATGTTTCCAATTCAATTCGCAATTGAGCAACGTAGCATTTTACCCATCCTTATCTTACTCGATCCCTCATATGGATATAATACTTAATCACTCCATCTTTCATAAAAGTTAGAAAACTTGTATCCGAAACTTCCCTCTACCTTTCTCTTTGATCTCTTCCCTTGTTCCTCACACTGACACGTGGGTGCATCACAGGATTCCATGCTCTGCTTTCTCTCTTTTCCATTCTAATGCTCTAGCCAGGATCACCTATGTGCTAATGGACTCAACTTCTGCATCTCCAGCCAAGCCATGGCTCCCCATCTTAGATCCATATATTTAACTGCCTAACGGACATGGCTAACCACAGTCTTCACAGACACCCCCAACACAAAATATCTCAAACACAACTCAGCAACCTTCCACCCCAAAACCAGCTTTTGCAGCACCCCTGAACTGACTTTGTGATCAGCACCACAGCCAGCCTACAGTCCAAATCACCTCTACCCTTCTCCCTCACCAAGTGTGAATAATCCCGTCTTCTAGTTATTTCTCAAATTTCATTCCTTCCTCTCCAGCATCAATATCAGTTTGGACAGGAATCATTTCTGTCTGGTTACCATAGTAACCTAACCAGTCTTCTTGCTTCAAATCTCATTTTCCTCCTCCGGCCCATCCTCCACGCTACTGTGTAATCTTTGCAAATATAACTTGATAACATGGCCCTATTAAAATTCACCAACAATTCCCCATAACCTTTAAGAAAAAGTACTAATTTTTCCTTTTTTAGCCCAGTATATAAAGCTCTTCAAAATCTTAATTTTGTCTATTTCTCTGGTCTCAACCCTCACCACCCCTTAAGTGGGCACGTATCCTTGCCGTATCAAGCTATCTGCGGCTTCCCGAAATGCCACATTCTGGAACGTCTGTGTGTTTGCACAGGCTATTCTTTCAATGCCCGTATTAAGCTAAGTACTAATCTTCCCAGACTCTACTCAAGCATTACATGCTTTGAAATGCCTTTTCGAATGACCTTGAACCTGAGTTAGGTGACACCACACACCATGCCCCCACTCACAGCTGTCCTCCCTGTGCGTACTCGATGCTACTGCTTGTCACACTGCGATGTAACCGCTGGTCCACTCGTCTCCTCCACAAGACCTGGCGCATCAGTTAGTCCTTGCAAGAACAGAGTGTGCAGCACGTGGTAGGTTTTCAGTAAGTGTTTGCTGAACGATCTTGAAATACACTCATGAATAATTATTATGGTTACATAATTAAATTATAACTTCCAATAATTGTGTCTCTAAGGTAATAAAAAATTTACTTCCATTTATTTTTGACTTAACAGAACTTTAAGGCTACAGGGGCCTGGATAACAATGAACATCTCCAAGCCTCAGTTTCTTTGATGGAAAACAGAGATAAAACTGTTTACCTACCACATGGGTTATGTTTAAAATGTTCAGATATGAATGTGAAAGCATTTTTACACACCACGAAGTACTAAATAAATGCAAACTACTGTGTTAGCTTCCATCCCAGCATCTGCCAAAGATTCATGGGCTACACTGACCTCCTCTTCCACACCCACCTCACACTTCTCCCCAGTGACTCAAAATTCAGAAATGAAATTGAGTGCAAAGATCACTACAGCATGAGACTTATTCAACAGTCTTCAATATTCTCATTTGGTTAAAGTGTTTAATGATATCTAATTTAAAACTAATCTGATATGATCTTAAAAAGTGGTTATTTTATAAGTATCAAAGTAAATCTCAAGGTAAGTTGTTGGTACAGTCAGTGAAATTTCAGCTCCATTTAAAAAAATTAACTGGAGGACAAAAATCAGCAGGGAATTATTTGGAGATATTGGCTCTAAATATCTTCACTTGATCTTAGCTGAAAGGCCAAGAAGAGATATCTAAATATCTCGATCCACTACAGACTAATATTAAAGTTAAAAGTCACTTTCACAAAGCCAACACTTTCCCCCCCAAGTTTCTGGCTTACTCCTCAGATATGCCTGCTGGTCTAGCAGTCAACCGGAAGAGAAGATGTGCTGCATCTTTCTGAACCAAAAAAGTGACAGAGCATGTTAACTCTGCTCTCAGCAATATCCTTCCTTGTTAAAGGGGGACTTACGGGGACTATGGACTACATTAGAACTATTTTCAGTTCCTTCTGCAATATTGATAAAAATAGGATTCCTTAACCTTCAAGGGGCAAAACTCCTTTAAAAAAAAAAAGGAAAAAGAGAAAAACAAAATCTACTACAAAAGTCAGCACTTCGGTACCTGGTTGTGGTAACAAGGCCAAAATCCAAGACGAAGCCCTTTATTGCACATCGTGTTCCAACGTCTTGGGCAGCCCCATCTTGCGACCTCTCCAGATTGGCTGCTCCTGCTCTCTCTACTGCAGAGAGAACTTCAATTAGAGAAATTCTGAAGCTCATAAATCTAAACTGGATACTCCCCTCACTGGAGGCAAGAATGGTAAGAATTACTAAAAAGATTTAAGTTAGAGGAGGTTTCAAATCAAAGTGGCTTGAAACCACTGTAACATAGACAGCTGAGAGTCTTATGATGCAACAGTCTATTGACTTTAAAAAAAAATCTTAAGGAAAAGAATGGCAGCAAAGTATTGCATAACCTGACAAAAACAAGTTATGTAATCATAAGTCTCTAAAGAGTGCAACATTTTCCACTGAATTTGTGTAAAATTTATATTGATAACACAAACTTACAGCTGGCCATTCATGTTCATAATTCTTATGACAAAAACAAGCAAGAAAAAAAAAACTAGGACATATTATTAACTTCATTTTATGCCCTAAAATAACTTCCCTGAAAAAAAAATGTCCGGTTAAAGACCACTGGCTAGGAAGGAGAGGTTTCCCTGCTGACTTAAGCCTAGCCTCCCAAGCAAGGCTTCGGAAAACGTCTTCGCCTACAACAGTGCGCAGGCGAAGGAGCAGCGGCTATGGCGGTCTTCCTAGAGACACTTCCAAGTCACACAAAGGAGGTATGTTTCTGGGATAGACTGCCAACAAGTTACTGGGGGGAGGGCGGGGGGGGGGTACAGCAAAAACCTGGCAAATAAATAGGCCATTGCCCTCCTGTGTTTTATCAGGACACAAAAGGTCAAGTTTACTGAAGTTACTTGAGGCTACCAGATCTAAATCACACCTTCCATACCAACGTTACCAGACCCGTGAAAGAATGGATTCATTTTCACGCTGGTTTTCCATAAAGACCTGCGATCATGTGTAACACATACAGAGCATTTCTTAGACCAAGCAAATAATAAGCTACATCTCAATTCAGCAATCAAGGTTTTTCAGTGAGAGAAATAAACAATTTGAACCACATTTACCAGAATGAACTGTTATCGAAAGTATGCTGGTATGTGCTATGCAACAGAATGAGGTTAGTACTGTTGAGATACTGCAACTGGACTTACTAAATAATTTTAACAATGACTTCGCCTTACCTGAGTGTGAAAATTTGAAATGGTGGTTGTTTCGATATCTTTCTTGCCCAGAATTTCCATTTTCACTGGAGTGTTGGGGAAATTAAAAGCAAAATAGTCCAAGAAGTCCGGGAGATAAGCAGCCGCTCCATGCACTATTGCTAAAGCATAGTAAGCAGCATTTTTCTCATTTTCACTGAATGTCAAAGCAAGGAACTCCTCAGAAAATCTCTCCATCTCCATTGGAGACAAAAATGAGAGTTCATCCATGTAAGCATGAAGGACGAGCGCACCACCATTGGACTGGTGTTCCTCGTGAATAAAGTTGCTAAACTTAGTACCTGTTTTTAAGAAATTTCTGCGAATAGAATGCTCCTGGTGAGTCATAAAAGGTGTTTGCACTCCCTGGGGTACCCGATATTCTTGCATGCCCAGATTTAACCGGCACAGCTGTTCATCTTTCAGATACCTGAAGGACTCCTTACTGACTCCCGAAGTGCTATTCACTTGCCCTTGGGCGAGGGTTTCCTTGCTGATGCGCGTCAGGCCAGCACAGACAGTTTGTACTTCCTTATTGTACATTTTAAGGCGTCTTCCTCGCATATCTTCTCGGTGTTTCTTTTTCTTTTTCTTCTTTATTTTCTTCAAGACAAAATCATCGGCTCTCTGGGTTTTACCATTTTCATCTGGTGTTTCTGGCCACAATAATTAAAAAGAAGTTAGTTGCTAGGTCCAGTGTCAACATACAAGCTTCTTAAGGTACTTGATCTCAAACTAAAACGTCTATTCCCAGTTCCTATGCACTTCCCATTACATGTTTATAAAGTGAATGAGAAAAAAAATCTCAAAGTACAATAATATTCTGACCTGGAGACTATGCTATAGATAAGGCAAAGGTCAGATATAACTTAGTATGACCTGCAATCAAAAAACGTAAGGCAATACAGGAATAACTGATTTCACATATTACATACAGAACGGTACATCTGTTCAGTAACCACGGTAAAATCTACACTGAAGCTCATCATATCTTGCTGTCAGTCTACATGGTATTATGATATACACAGGTGAATCAAACAAAAGGAAATTGAGCTGTAAGACACCATTTTTCCTACCAAATTGGCCAAAAAACAAACTGGCATTCTCATGTACTGTTGCTGCAAGTATAAAATGGTACAACTTTCATGAAGGGCAATTTGGTACCCTCTAACATAAGTATGTACCAAAAGACTTGAAAATATTTGTCATTGTCAGACCTCAAAATTCCACTAAGTAAAAATTACCTAAGGAAATACCTGAAGATACATAAAAATAGCCATGACAGTTATTTAGGGAATTCCCTAAATGTCTAATAATAGGATAGTAATTAAACTCTGGTACTTACATACAATAAACTACTACTCAACCACTAATAAAGTATATCACAGATGATAAGAACTGATAAATTACAGCATTACAAAATGCTTACATTGTTACTCCTGCAGAAAGCCTTCTCTTAGTAACTCTTCACCCAATTTGGATTGCTATTCCTACTGTGTGCTTCCTTATTACTGTTACTTTCCATCACAGCACTTAACTACATTCAGAGGTACTATTTATTACAATTCCACCTTTCCTCTAGACTGTAAGCAATCTCAAGTCAGATATACATATGTGTATAGACAGATATAGGTATCTTACCTTTCTTTCCAGGGTATCTAACACATATATATAATCTTACCCTATTTTTATAATATTGAACATTCATTCAAACTTTTATTTAGTACCTACTATGTACCGAGGACACTTCTGGGCACCAGGAATACGTATTAACTAAGACAGACATGATCCCTAGTTCTTGGACTTTACAGTCTGGTTGTACAAGAAAGAGAAAGTTATCAGTAGGTTACTAGATGCTGGGGAAGCTCTCTTTGGGAGCTTACATTTACACTGAGTCCTAAATAATAAGACAAAACAAGCATCTTTTTGAGAGAAAATTATTCCAGGGAGAAGCAAAGTACCTAAAGAGAGGAAAAAGTCTAACTTACCTATATATATTTTGTATATATACAACACAATTATCTGGAAAATATATATCAAAGTATTATGGCAGTAACCTAGACTAGTAAGATTATAAATGTCTAGCTTTTTTTTTTATCTGTAGTTTCTAATTTTCTACAAAAACATTTTTACTTTTACAGTCAAAAATTTTATTTTTAGCTTTGGCTGGTGTGGCTCAGAGGATTGACTGAGTGTTGGCCTGAGAACCAAAGGGTCACCGGTTCGATTACTAGTCAGGGCACATGCCTGGGTTGCAGGCCAGGTCCCCAATCAGGGGGCGTGAGAGAGGCAACCACACATTGTTGTTTCTCTCCCTCTCTTTCTCCCTCCCTTCCCCTCTCTCTCAAAATTAATAAACACAATCTTTTAAAAAATTATTTTTTAATTTTAAGGGGTTATCATAGTTTAACAAACCCAAAATAGAGTGCATCTTTTATTTCCCAGTTGGGAAATATACCTAGCAAGATTTCTTTAGGATTAAATATCAGGTATACTCCTGACCAACCTTCAAGCATGATGTGGTATTAATTACATAGAATTTACCCACCGAACAATAGTATTTCTGACACAATTCAATTAATTCAGGGCTAAAACAGGTACTAATCCTGTCTTAATCCCAACTAATCCTATTACTACACCTGGGAAGAACAAGTTCAATAAATTTTACAGTAAAAAATTTTCTTGGTATATAATACATAAATATATGATAGTTGCAGTGTTCTATGCAAAATCATTCTGATCACCAGATATTACAGGTTATAAAGCCCTTCTAAATAAAAGATTTAAAAGCACAAATCAAAGACTTTAAAGTGTACAGATACCAAATGTTTTCATTCTGTTTAATGCTTGCTTTTAAACAAAAAGAAAACCACTTGCAAACTTCACTTGGAATTAAACTGAGATCACAGACCAAAATATACATGTCATCAGATCATTTAAATTGGCGAGAGAAAAAGCAACCTTTTTTCTATATACAACTAAATCTTTGAGAATTCATTACAACACTTAGTCACAATCAATTTCTTACTAAATAAAATTAATCTAAATACTTTCCTCATATATCAAATCAATAATTTAGGCAATTCTGTCAAATAACTAAATGTTAATGCCATTAAACATAAAGGTTAATCCAATTTTTTTAAAAAAATCATCTAATTACCCTCTGCTAAAATGTTTTAGCAATTTCATAGGAAAAGAAAAAGAAAGTATCTCTGAATAGATTCTGTTAGTTTAAGCTTCAGAGGAGGTATTTGGTATGCAGAAGGTGAATTTGCAGAAGATGAATTGTAACCTAGATCTGCCACTGAAATTAACACCAGGGAGCTGCCTGGATTGTAACACGTTTCTGTTATTACTATCAGCTCACCGGTGACATTTCTGACATGGCCAAGTCTCTGTGGGTTTTATTCCAAAACTCCTAAGAACCATTCAATTAATCCAACATGGTCCATCTCAAAAAAAGAAGAAAACCACCATATAAGGAAATGAAAAAGACCTTAAATTGATTGTGATCTCCTACTTCAACATGATAGAAGTTTAAAACATGAAATAAATTTCAATCTATCTACTCACTAACCCTGTTCTTCAAATTCTGATTCTTATCTAGGGCTGAGATATAGAAAGTTCACTTTTGTTTACAAAGAAATCTGAGACAACCTGTATCACCCTAGCTAATGAATTTCTTTGAATAAACAAGTATTATTTTTGAATTATTATGGTGGTAACTAATTAAGAATGGCATACATATACAAAGTTGTTAAAACTTATTATATGTTAGCCATCACTGCCTAATGAGAATATTGAGGTTGCTTTGCTTGAATTAAAAACTTTATTTAAAAGTCAATGTCTCTGCAATACAAATTATTCAAACCAGTATGTTGTACACCTTAAACTTACACAATGTTATTAAATGTCAATTATACTCAATTTTTAAAAAAAGTCACTGTCTAAAGAATTAACAATCCCCTTCTGGTAGAGGGTGTTAGCATTCCAACATAGAAAGTATTCAGACCAACTACACTTAAAGAAAAATAAACTTAAAAATTAAAATGTCAATGGGGGGGGACTGTGATGGAACTTTTAAAAAAAGCTAAAATTTATTGACAAGAGTTCACTTACAGAAAAAGAGCCAAGCTATACTGTCTGTGATTACGGAAAGCTTTCACACATCCCACTGTGGGATTAATTATACAGAGAAGCATGACATTCTGCAGGGGGAGACACAAACATTCATCTAAGAAGCAAATTACTGGCTGTCTTTGAGTGCTGGCCTATGAACTAAAGAGTCACCAGTTCCATTCCCAGTCAGGGCACATGCCTGGGTTGCAGGCCAGGTCCCCGGGGGGGGGGGGCAGGCGAGAGGCAACCACACACTGATGTATCTCTCCCTCTCTTTCTCCCTCCCTTCCCTTCTCTCTGAAAATAAATAAAATCCATTGAAAAAATCATATGTTGTAATATCTTTATTATCAACTATCAAATAGCATAATTTATTTAACATCACTATTCAGAGTTTCCATGAATGCAAAAATAAATAAATAAGCTTTCCACATTACAAAACAAGAATCATAACACCATTCTTAGGCTTGAATTATAGCTTAGAACTGAAATAAAATGTAATACCTTCATTCCTAAAAATCATGGTGCATAAGCAAAAACAAAACAGTAACAACTTTTATATTTTATTAATCATAATAAAGAAAAAAACTAAAGTTGTTTTCTGAACACAAATTCTTTTTGGTTTTATTAAGCTCTTCCAGTTCCATATTTAAAACCTGACTAAAAAGGAAACAGTAAAAACTGTTCATGTTGAAGGTCATGATTTGAGTAAATCACTGCATGTTTCCAACACTGCATCACTTCACTGCCCCCTCTGCCCCCCTCTGTCACAGGGTCTAAGAGTGGCTGGCTGGATTCGAACCCCTGTCCTAGCCATATTACCTTTTCCAGGTTAATTTCTCTGTACTGTGTTTCTCATTGGTAAATGGGGGGGGGGAATAACAGTCCTTTCTCACAAAATCAGTGTGCAGAATAAACAAAGCATATTAAAGTACACTGTACTTAGAATAGTCCTGAAACATAACAAATACTCAGTACATGGATAACCACTATCATTACTCTAAAACAGTTGAATTGTAGAGACAGTAGAGTGTGTGCTCTTTCAGGTGCCTTATAGTTAGAAAGACCTAGGTTAATGTCCCAGCTCCACTGCTAATAACGTCTCTGGGCAAGCTCATAAATCTCTCTAAACTTCAATTTTCTCATCTCAAAACATGATTAATGCTCATTTCTACCTCCGAGCTTCTGTGAGGACTGAAACAACATAAGGCCTCGTAACAGTGTTCGACCACAAGTCCTCACCATCTCTATTATCATTTTCATAATATTTGATAATATTCCTTGAAATAACTGGCAGTAACTCTGAGATATCAAAACTAGAGCTAGAAATTACCAACCTAGTGTTCAATGTATTGTACTATAAGAGAAACACATAAAAGGGAAAATAAATCTCTGGAAGAAGGGAGAAAACTATTATTTACCAACTGTCTGCTAGTAATCGTATGTTATCTCATTCTAACCCTCACGCCAGTAAAACAGATATATAAATCCTTTTTACAGAGGAGAAAACAGCTTGAAACATGGTATGTTATTTCTA